TTTTCATGAGGTTAAAGTATCTAGTTAAATTGGGATTAATATAGAAAAATCTACAGTATTTATTTATTTTTTATCCACTTATTTTATATCCATTTATTTATTATCTAATTGTTTTATTCACTTATTTTTTATCCACTTGTATTTTATCCATTTGTTTTTTATCCATTTATTTTTATCTACTTGATTTTATTCACTTATTTTTTTATCTTATCCATTTATTTTTTATCTACTTAATAATTGCGGAATAAAGACTTGTATTTTTAAACTATATACAGTTAATGTTACTTTAAGCTATTATTGTTATACTTGCCGCCCAAATTAGCAATTGATCCCAAATCCAAAATCCAAAATAGATTAAAACCTATCTGGGATTTTAATACTATAAGTTTTAAATGCCTAAATGGTATTTATCCTTTGTATGTATCCCAAATCCCAAAATTGTTCGAAATCCCAAATTTATCCCAAATTCCAAACTTATGTAATAATTTTTAAGAGCAGAACTTTTAGTATCGCCCACAAAAAAATGCATCTACGTCATAATTTTATCACATGATGACGTTCTTCAGTAAATTGCATGAATTATCTGTCATGCTGTTATTATTATCGGTACTACGTATAACTATATGACTGATAATTCATGCAATTTTACTGAAGAACGTCATCATGTGATAAATTTATGACGTAGTTGCATTTTTTTGTGGGCGATGCTAGGTCTGCTAACACATATCGCTATAACGTCCCATAATGAGTAATAGATATAAAAAAAATTCAAGGACAAGTTTTATTTTATATAACTTGCAAAAAAGTTTTTGCATAGCTATAGCATATTTGTTATAGTGTGTTTATTTTTAAAGGTTTGTCTTTAGAGTTATTTAGGGTTAATCATAGTTTATTCAACATTTACGTAACTATGTGTCTTGAATCTTATTGTTTTTTTTTATTATATTTGCTATAAATTTTTTTTTTTAATTAGTGTTGGAATTTTTTTTAAACAATGCTGGTTTATTTTAAAAAAAAAATTAAGTCATTGATTTTATATTGGTGGTATTTATATATAAAATTTGGCTAATAATTTTAGGTTGTTGGAATATAATAATGAATTAATATTTTTACTCAAATTTATACACATAGGTTATATTGCTTTAAAAAATAATAACCATGTCAATTTTGAACAAACAAGGTAAACTATTATTATTGTATATATTTTATTAAATACTATTATATAATGACTAACTCATTTATTAAATAGTGTAGTGTTCTTATCCATTATTTATTTATCGAATATATGAATTTGAATTTATTTGGATATCTGTTTTACTATTAATATCTAGATAATTATCTGATTACCCTTCAGATTATCTGAATATCTGGCTATTTGAATTATTAAGCTATTTGGATATGGATTAACAGATGATAGATTATTCAGATTGAAACTTTAAAATAGTAGTGTAATGATGGAAGATAATTACAATGGTAGCAATGTAACTGATGTTTATGATAATCATAAAGAATCATCAAATAGTTCAAGTGATACTGATGAGATTGTTGGCTGTCTAAGAGATAAAGTTTCAGAACATTTTATTAGAACAAAGTGCCCTAAAAAAACATTATAGTGTTATTTGCACATTTTGTAAAACAAGTTGGAAATGTAAAAAACCTATAATCTTAAAGTCTCATTTGGTAGTTAGATGTTCAAAGGTTTCAAATATTATTTGAATCAAATATTTATATATGATAAGTAATGAAAATAGCCAAGGAGTGGCATTAATTTCAACAGATACTTCAATTATGCATTCAGAAAAAAATTAAAATCTAACCATAAGAGACTGTCAGTTGCTTTTTATAATATTAATAAGATTGATAAATCTAGAATAAAGCAAGATAATTAAGCTCTTATTTATTGGTTTGTATATTCAGGCATACTATTTGTAGTAGCTATTTCACTATTTTTAGTGATTTTAACAAATACTCTGTTATAGATATAATCTAACATAAAGAATAACATTATCTGGGTCAATACTAGACTCAGAAATTGCAAATGTTACTTTAAGCTTAATAAAATTTTAAAAGATGTCACGAATCTTATATTATGTAGATTTATAATTAATTACAAATTTTTAATTTTATTAGTGCATCTTAATATTAATAATATATTATATTATAGGTATTGATAGTTGGACATCACCACTCAAACAAAGCATATATGCTTTCATTATTATGTTACCTGATAAACAGCAATAATTTATTTAATTGAGGATTATTCATAATATTCACATACTAGTGAGTTTAATGTAATAAGAATTATTAAAGTTCTAAACCAAATTGGGCCACAAAAATTTACTGCAATAGTATCAGATGCTGAAACAGTAATTATAGTAGCAAAAAGGTATATGACTATTAGGTTTCTAAACATTTTAGCAATTAGATGTATTGCACCACATACAACTAATTGCTAGTGACATTGTTAAAATTGATTGGATTAAAAAAATCTTAAATCATATACCAAAGATTATTTCATTTTTTAAAAATAATTATCAAGCTGGTGCAGCTTTACATAATAATATACTTAAAACTTTAATAGTTGGAGAAAATCTTAAATCAATGACCAAAACCAAATGGTTAACAGCTTGAGATGCATGTAATTAATGTTGTGATTAGAAAATAGTATAAAATTGGTAAAATAATTTGAATTAAACAACTATACTAAAGAAAATAAATTATATATATATATTTTTTAGATTTTAGACAAAGAATCAACTATTTTTAATTCAGCAAATGAGGTTTGAGCATTATTACATAGCTGGCAATTTCGAATTAATATTGAACAATTGTGTACTATATTAAGTCCAGCAAAATGTACTGTAAAAAATGGTGAATTTATATCTACTTTAATGGCAAATGTTTTTTAGAACTATTTAAGCTTGCTACTACAATTAAAGAAATTCCAAGATCAGAAAATTTTTTATTAAAAGAAAAGTGTTTTGAAATTTTAATAAATGTTAGAAGCAGTTTGATATTGATATATATATGTTGTCATTTTTTATGCATTCTAAATATTATGGTAAATAAAAATTTCTTTAAATAATTTAATTAATTACTTATTAACTCAATTTTTATCAACATAATTAGCAGATTTTTTTTAATTTAAAATTTATAAATGAACAGTCAAAAAAGTATTAATTCTTTGAAAGCAGTTTGGTGGTGAAGTGACTAGTACAAAAATTCTATGAACACAAATAGGATTATACAAAAACTGGAAACTTACATTTAATGATAAATTTATTAAATCAGTTAATAATTTTTGTAATTAGTGGAATTCATATGAACTACAAAAAAATAAAGATCATATATATACTTTAGCTTTACAATTAACTGCAATCACACCTCATAATGCAGCTTGTGAATATGTTTTTTATTTTAAACTAGTATATGAGAAAATATTACACAAAGTAATATTTTTTTAAATTATGCTAATTTATAATTTTAGATTAATATTTATTATTTTATATTTAGAATTAATATATCACATTTAAAAAACATGGCACAAATTCACTCGTACCTCATTACTAATGCAAGAAATGAACTAAATTTGTTAAGTCAGAAATTTCACAGGAAAATTTAATGCAAGTCTTTGATGAAATCGCATATGCTATGATAGAAGAGTACAATATGTTTAATGATATTAGTGAAGACAACTATAGGAAGGAAGAATTTAATAATGAAGAACCAACTGATGATAAATTGTTAGATAATAAAAATGAAAATATTTCACAATTAGAAATAAAAAATTTTATTAACTTAGAGCATAAATTGCTAAATAATGATAATGATAATATTTTTAGTAATTCTGATGTTATTAATCATAGCAATCCTAATTTTGATGTTAATATATTGCTTGATTATTTAGAATAAATAAAATCATATTTTTTATTTAATTTGTAATCTTTATTTATTTAATAATTAGACGCAAATCATTAACTCTTCCCAACGATTACTTGTACCAAATTCTTCTTGAAAACAATTGCTATTTACTCAAAATTTTACTAAGTAAACTACCTTTAGCTGCCTAAGTAAAGTTGCTCTACACTTAATTTTACTTATAAGTAGCCTAGTTTATAGCTCTAAAGCTTTTAGATACTGAGTTATAACTAGATTTCTAAATTTTTTATTTTACCGTTTACTTGAAATTTTATTAAGTAAACCTTCTTTGTCTATTAATTGAAAAAGATTATGCTCAACCAGAGCTTTAATTTGATATATAATACATTCAAAACGGATAAATACTTCTAATTTTATTAACAAAATACTA